TTTTCTATCATTTTGCCTGAAACTAAGTAAAAACAGGTCCATTGTCTGGTTGTACCTGGAATGGGACAACTCACCACAGCCAACTCACCACAGCCAACTTGTCGTGGTCAACTCACTGCAGGACAACTTTCCATGGCCTACTTACCATGGGACAATTCGCTGGGGGATAATTCAGTAATATCAATTTAATTCTTTAAAATAATTTTAAAAATATTTTAATTTTTGTCATTTACATTTCATTTTGTGCCTCCGTTGGCATCCTTTTTAATTATTCTAATTAAATTAATTTATTCTAATTTAATTATTCAAATAATTTAATTATTCAAATGGTTTAATTATTCAAATAATTATTGTTTTAATTATTCCATTATTTCTTCAATATTAGTGTAACTTTTGTCCTGCACCGAGTTGTCTCATAACGAGTTGGCCATGGTCAGTTGGCTGCAGCAAGTTGAGTTTATCTGAGAGACTTCTGCTTAGTTCTCTTCCTAAGATCGCCTTACAATTGTGTAGTAGAATATGCTAACTTCAAACACTGTCGTAGCATGAAGCAAGAGTGGGATTCAACTTACTTCATCCTGCCATTTCTACTCCCCAATATCCATGAAATTAAATTCTGAAAATGGGGGAAATGCTCCATATTTAAAATTTCTCACCCAATGGCTGAGAACCTTCATTATGCAGCAAGCATGGAAAGTTTGCCCAAATTAATTTCCTGAATTCTTGCATTATGATACAAAGGAAATGACCTTCTCTCCACTATAATAATTACATTATTTTTCATTTTTATTTCTTATTTTATTTATTTCCTGTCCCACCCCCACCCCTTAGGACACACACTTTGGCTAACAATAAGGGGAAAAAAATCTTTAGCATCTCATTAATTAGTTTAAACACTATTAAACTAAGGTGAATTGTTCTGAGTGCCAGAAGAAGGCTTTTGTTCTAATAGCATAGAGGAAGCTTCTGGTATTAGAAGAATGTGATTAGGATCACTTACAGGCTGGGTATCATGTAGTGCTGAAAATTATTCTAAAGAGTCATTAGGATTATTTCCTCCAAGTAGAAAAACATCCCTATCGGTACCAATCATACCTTGGAATTATGATTATATTTCAGGATGCCTACATAAAGAATTCGGAGGCAGATGGCTTTACCGTGGTAAGATTCCAACTTTTAATATTTTTTTGACCACTTACAGAAATGGCATAAATATTGCTTTGCAATTCTACAACAGGCAGATTTATCTGAGAATGTATGCTTGTTTTGTTTTTTAAGGCCAACATTGTTTTTCAGCTTTCTCAAAAGGCTTATGTTGATTTTTACCTAACATGAAATGACCCCTTCTCTCCCCCCACCACTCTCCTCCCACCCATCCACCCACCCGCCAAATGCCAGTCCCAACAACCACACCTTAAGATTTGCTCAGGAGGAACTCCTTGGAGTATTTCTAAAGAAGACAAAGGTCTCTGCTGTGGCATTAGTGTATGTAACTCACTCTTCAAAGAAATGTAAATTGTGCTGCCTTCCCTCTCTTCTTGACACAAGCTAAAAGCTTTCTGTTTGCCTAGGCCTTTTAGACTGTCAGTTTCTTCGCTTATAATTTGCCTTTTGCATGTTTTATGACTAAACTCTATTATTGTATTTTAAGGTTATATGTTGATTTTTGTTTCGTACTCAGCCACTTATTTTTAGATGAAAAGCAATTTTAAAATCTTACTGCCATGACTGTTGCAAGCAATCCAGCTCTCCGAGGCTTTAAAAATAATTCCTAGTAGTAAAAAAAAAAAAACTAACTCTCTAACTGAAAATCCAGTTCCAGGCAGAGTATCTATAACTCAATTTTGAAAGTTTTTAAAATGCAATAGTTCTAGCAGTACATGATTTAAAACTGTAGTCTTCCAAAAGTGTTAAGCAGCTCATTAAATACATAAAGTGTCACAATCCCATGTCACAGTTCCTTAATTTTATCAGATATGGGTTCTTTTCCCTTGAAAATCTTGTTAATTACTAAAAAAACCATTAGCTTGTTTTCTTGATAATTCTTAATAGAGACAGTTGCCAGTTCCTGGACTATTTTAAATCCCCAAACTGGGGCATTAGTAGTAGAGTTATCAATTCTTTCCTCTAGCCACTGTGTAATATGAGGGTTGTCCTGCTCCTCCTCCTCCTCCTCCTCCTCCTCCTCCTCCTCCTCCTCCTCCTCCTCCTCCTCTTTCCTCCCTCTTTCCTTCTTCTCTTCTTCTTCTTCTTCTTCTTCTTCTTCTTCTTCTTCTTCTTCTTCTTCTTCTTCTTCTTCTTCTTCTTCTTCTTCTTCTTCTTCTTCTTCTTCTCCTCCTTCTCCTCCTCCTCCTCCCCCTCCTCCCCCTCCTCCCCCTCCCCTCCTCTTCCTTCTCCTCCTCCCCCTCCTCTGGCAGCCTTGATTCTATTGATGCAACTAAAATTGACCAAGCAGATAATTTTCATTTCATTCATAAAGCATCATTTTTCCCATGAGACAGCACAGACAGAAATGGAGCTATCAGAATATGTTTGCCTTTAAGTACTAGATGAAGTTGATACTAATCTTATGGGCTATACTGATCAGTGAAACTAATTCTACAGTTCAAAATACAATAAAGTAAGATTTAAAAGGGTAATCTGAGACTACTATGATATTCCTTTTATTTTTTATTTAATTGCTGTTAGATATTTTCTGATCAATGCTGAACTCTTTATGTCAGTAATACATTGTTTCTAAAGTTAATATAGTCAGGTCAAAGAGATTGCCAAACCTGGAATTCATATAACAACATTCCCTTCACTCTATTAAGGTGCTGCTTTAAATTCTGCATGCAATATCATAATGAGTTCCGTTAAAATGGATTTCAGTTTGTATCTAAAATTACATCTTTGGAAAGACATACTTATTTTCAAAGAAAATAATTATTTTTTACATAGAAAGGCAACAACAATCCTTGAATGCCAATATATGAATAATTTCTTTTTGAGAAAGTGATATAATCTAGATTATAACATAGAGAAAAGCATTTGATTATAAAATCATATTGAGTATTTGACTTGGTTACAATGTTTCAAAACTGTTAATAAGTTATCTCATTGACCTTCTATGGAACAAGCATATATACAGATATTTGTGACAGTAACTATGAAATAACAAAGTTATATATATATTCCTCCATTTTATGCACTGTCAGGTTTTTTTTAAAAAAATAGAATAGAATAGAATAGAATAGAATAGAATAGAATAGAATAGAAGTTCTTTATTGGCCAAGTGTGATTAGACACACAAGGAATTTGTCTTGGTGCAAACGCTCTCGGTGTACATAAAAGAAAAGATACATGAAATAATTTATGAAATGCACTGCAATAACTGTAGCAATAGTTGTTATCTTACATGGCTAAAATTCATGAAAATCTATGAATGTCTATTAGTTGTGAAGATCACATGCAATTCCAGCTTCAGAGGGAATTTGTCCTATGTACTATATTTGTTTTTGTTGACCAATAACAGTAAAACGAAGTGTTTTCTCTTTTGGAGGAGCTTCATGGAGCCCTTTGGCCAATGTGAGAAAATAATCTTCTAGTATGTTTACACTCTAATTTTTTTGGCTCTGTCCTCAGACGTTCTCCAAAACATCTATGTTCCATCTATGGGTCCACCTAGAAACATGGGCTATTCTACAAACTCATTCAAAGTTTTAGAGAATTGCTTTTCTTGCAAACCTTTTCTGGTTAAAGATTCTTTTTTTCAAGTCTATATTACCCTAATCATCACAACACATTCAGTAATGGCCTGTTTTCTGAGTAGTCTGTGCATCTTAAAATAGTTTAGAATGTTATAGACAAATTCAGCAGTGGTTCTTACAAAATCAAGCAAAATACTTTCCCTGAAGTATCAGTTATCTGATTTAGACTTTGGCAATAATCATTTATAGTGTAAATAAAATGTCTCTCTAATTTTGCCTGTCATAAGCTGGTATAAGAAAAGTTAATAAGTTGCTCAAATACTGTCTTCCTTAAAAGCAGACAAGAGGAAGCAAAGAATCTTCAGTTACAAATGTTGGCATATATTATATAAACTGAGCTGATAAATATGACTGAAAATGATGCATAATTTAGAATTAGAGTTCAATTTATTATGTTAGATCCATATATGAAAAGAGCTGTGCAAAATAGATACCTAATCAGGTTTCTTTTTTTATCAAGGGTTTCATTAAATTATAGATAATTATAGATCATCTTAGTGGCATCAGTATAGTAGATCCAAGCAATCTTAGATGATTTGTATCCAAAAGAAACTTTGAGCAAACAGCTTATCTGCATATCAAACTTGGGGTACCTAATCATGCATCATATTCACCTTCACTCCAACTGTACTCAGCCTTCTAAAGTTACCCTTGCAATTTGAGGAATCAGGGAAAAATGGTATTCTGCCAGTACAGCTGAATTTTACAATTTCTTAGTCATTTCCTACCGGTAGTAGTAAGAACAGTTCAATAGTGCAATTATCTCAAGAAATAATGGTCAAATAGAATTTGGATGGGCATTTGTTAGGGATGCTTTAATTTGGTTTCCTGGAATGGGCAAGAACAGCTTAATTGACTCAATTCTACGAACCCAAAATTCTATGGTCTGATACGTCATTTGTACCTAGTTTATGAAGCGTTGCTTCTGATATGGATATGAATGTATCTATAATTATCAGGAATCAGATATTTAAAAGTTCATGGTCACAGTCATAGCAAACTCTCCAAACTCCTAATTTATGAGCCAGATGGAAAGTAGCATTCATTTATATTTACACATTTGTAAGCACCTGTTATAGGGACGTGGTGGCTCAGTGGCTAAGACGTTGAGCTTGTTGATCGAAAGGACGGCAGTTCAGCAGTTCGAACCCCTACTGCCACATAATGGACTAAGCTCCTACTTGTCCCAGCTTCTGCCAACCTAGCAGTTTGAAAGCACATAAAAAATGCAAGTAGAAAAATAGGGACCACCTTTGTTCCATGCGCCTTTGATGTTTAGTCACGCCGGCCACATGACCACGGAGATGTCTTTGGACAGCATTTCGCTCTTCAGCTTTGAAACGGAGATGAGCACCACTCCCTAGAGTCGGGAATGACTAGCACATATGTGCGAGGAGAACCTTTACCTTTAAGCACCTGTTGATACATAGAAATAATACTGATCTTACAAAAGTTGAGACAGGATGTGCCAGTTTGTTTATATATTTTTTTTTTCTGAACCAGAATAAGTCATCTGGTTAAAAAAGAAATTCTCAGAGATAATAATTGGAATTATTACTGTTCTCAAGAGATAATAATGTTGTGATAATTGCTTTATGCAACTATTATCAATTGATTTAAGTAGTCCACAATGAGCATCTATTTTTCTGCATATTAGGCATTACAACAATAAGCATGCCTGAATTGATGATGCATAGGAAAAAGAACCCGAAGTAATTACAAAACTAATATAGTCAAACACATGTGTTTTTATAAATAGAATGAGAACAAATGATGAATATATAATTAAAAAAAAATTAAAAGATCTCTGTTGAATAGAGATTTCAGGTGTTGCCATAAAGATGCTTGAACAATTCGTTTTTTAGTCACAATACCAGGAATTGTGCTCAACTGACTACGAGGCTCGGTTGAATTTTATTTTTGAGTAACAAAATTTAAAGTTAGAGCTGTTTAAAACTGCTTTCTGCAACGAAATAATTACCTACAGTTTACAACTAAATGTTCCTTTGATAGCATCCCTGGGTTTGCCTCCAAATAATTTGTGTGTGTGTGTGTGTGTGTGTGTGTGTGTGTGAAGGCACAAACTAAGGCTATGTAGCAGATAATAATTAAGAAGTGGATGCATGGTAGCATAAACAGCATCTATCAGAAGTGTTTTAAAGCAGCTACATCTTCTCCCAAGATCATGCAACTGCCCTTCATACTTTAAAGAACCTCTTTGAAACTGAATACAAAGCACTCATTTTAAATATATAGAACTGGATGCCATAAAATATTTTTCTTTTTAAAAAAACTATCTTTTTTCATCTTTCTTTTTATTTGTCTTGATTCCTGGAATCAAGAACCACTAAGAAAATTGGGCTACAATAGTGTACTTTATAGAAGGAAAAAGCACAAAGTACAGCAACACGTATTGTTATCTGTCTGTGCTCCAAGATAAAATAAGGATTAGATATGGATACCCATATCCCTGCTTACAGCAAAAGATGCCTATAGCCAATACAAGTGCTGTTTTTTCCCCTTCCTATATTGTGGAGACACCATCAGAAACCATCTGTTGATATTGGACATTTTTTCACATTCATAGGGAGTGAGAAGGTTTATTTGTTAAGGATCTCAATTTAAATGGATAGAGAAGGGCCTCCACTGAAGTTGTGGGAAAGTAGAACTAACAAGCAAGATGAAATGTATTTGAATTGTTTTTCCAATGAGCCCTTGATGCAATTAACTCCACCCATAGGTTTATTTAGGAATCTGAATGCTAACATGCATTTTAAAAGGAGGGAGGGGAGCTACAACATATGCAATTTATGGCAGTATAAGAAAATAACATAATAACATATCATGAATAGCAATCAAAGAACATTCAGGAATACTGAGCCCTATAACATAACACCCATATTTCAGGCTCTTTCTAACTCAAAAAAACATTCTATTACTTAAGTGCATCCAGTCTTTCATCCAAATCAAACAGTGAGTGGCAATGTACAATATCAAATCAGATAAAACCTGTCTTCCTCTTTCCTTATAGTTACACCCCATATTTAATATTTTTCACCCATGATACACAAATGTGTATATACTATTTTCCCACTGTTGAAGTGGTGCCTCAATTGTCAAAACAGGTATTGTCTGGAACAAATATCATTCTAGTCAGGACATTTGTTTTGTGACAGGAATTCTCCCAGCAATGACATTTGTACGTTCCTTTAAAAAACACATCTTTGTAAAACTTCATTCCATGTCTTAACATATTTTGAAATAACGTACATTTCATATTTGTCCTTGTGATAATTAGATTACTTTCTTCTGTGTCTTAAAATCCATTTATTTTATCAATTCTGTTTTATCTTCTATTTTCATGTCCTTTGTTAGCATCGTCTTCTGCTTGTTGATCTTAAAACCTGCTAATGCATCAATATTTTTCAGATTTCCCATTAATGTTTCCATTCCCTTTAAAGGAAATTTCCAAAATCAACCCCGTTATTTAAAAAAGCCGTTAATGTATAGATTTCTTTTTTTAATCTTTACTTCCACAAGTCTTCATCTTATATCGCTGTTTACTATTTCAAGAACTCAAATAAACAAGAAAAGAGATAGTAACTCTGCCTTGTTCCTATTTGTATCTCACAAAGCTTTGTTAAATATCCATTCACCATTATTTGTGCTTTTTGTGTAGTATAAATCAATCTTAAAAGTTTGTTCCAAAATTCACATCTTCCAAAACTTTCAAGAGAAAACCCAATTCAAATTGTCAAAGGCTTTCTCTACATCTAAGAAAATCAATAGGGCTTCTTTTTCATTATGTTGCTCTAAATATTCCAAAATGTCCAACACATTTTATCATTTAAGTAAAAAGCCACATTAAGTCTCATGAATTAATTCTTCCAAAATTACTTTCATTCTATCAGTCAGTATTGTTGTAAAGAGCTTATAGTTATTCTTTTTAATAATGACATTGGTCTATACTTTATTGTTATAATTAAACCTTGTCCTTTTTTAGGTATTAATGCTATTTTGGCCTTTTTCCAAGTCTCTGGCACCTTTCCTCCTTGTCAGATAGAGTTCACTATATTTTGTAAAGGTTGTAAAAGTTCATCCTCAAAACAAAAACAAAAAAAGTGATAACCCATATGGTCCAGGAACCTTGCCTGCTTCATCCATTTTATAGCTTCAGAAGCTTCCTTTATTTGTATAGGTTCATTCATAATCTGTTTCTGTTGCTCTGTAATCCTTCATAAATTTTGTTTCTTTTCTACAGAGAGATGTCACTTGCTTTATACAAGTTAGATCAATATTGATAAAATGCTTTTTGCATGGACTTGCTATCAATTAACACAGTATCTCTCTCTCATTTTTTTTCATAATTTATATATCAACCATTTCCCTGTTTTGTTTGCAAACTCAAAGGTGTGTTTTGCTTTCCATAGTTCATTTTTAGTTCTAATTCTCTTACTGTTCACATTGATAACTGTTGTTGTAAGAGCTTAATTTGTTGGGAAATTTAATTCTTTTTTTCTCTTTATCTAAGCCAAAGTAGCTTGTGTTTTCTCTTGCCTCTTCTTTTTGAGTTCACCATTATGTTATACAAAACCTCTGATAAAATGCAAATAAAACAAAACCTTTATTTGCATCCCAAATCATTCCTAAATCAATACATTCATTGAATTTTTTTTAAAAAAAAATATTTTAATTTTTTTTTACAATCTTTCACAATTGCTTTCTTCTATAGCAGCATTTTATTCAGTCTCCATTTAAAAGATTCTTTGTACAGTTCAAACTCACAAAATTATGATTGGAAAAAGGGTTTGGTAGTAGGTTTAGAAATTAATTTTAGAATCCTTAATAGCCAAATTATTGGAAATCTATACCTTATCTATTCTAGAAAAGGATCTATGTGTTTCAGAAAAATAAGTATGCTCTCTTGAACTGCCATTTTTCGGTCTCATATTTTCACAAGCCTTAAATTCAGAGGTGAAATCCAGTAGGTTCTGACAGGTTCTGGAGAACCAGTAGTGGAAATTTTGAACAGTTCGGAGAACCGGTAACGGAAATTTTGAGTAGTTCGGAGAACTGGCAAATACCACCTCTGGCTGGCCCCAGAGTGGCGTGGGAATGGAGATTTTGCAGTATCCTTCCCCTGCCAGGCCTACCAAGCCACACCGACCATGCCACACCATGCCCACCATGTCCACAGAACCGGTAGTTTAAAAAATTGGATTTCACCACTGCTTAAATTGCCCATCAAATCAAAGAAAACCTTTAGTGATTTGTCTCTCTTTGGTCCAAGGATTTATCCAATAAGATACATAGAGTCCTATGTAGCCATTGTGGTGTAGTAGTTAGAATGCTGTACTGTCCACGGCTAGGAGTTCAATCTTGACTGGTTCTAAGTTGACTCAACCTTCCATCCTTCCAAGGTCGGTAAAATAAAGACCCCCCAGATTGTTGGAGGCAATATACTGGCTTTGTAAACTACTCAGAGAATGCTGTAAAAACACTGTGGAGCAGTATATCTATGTACCCTATATACCCTGCACCTAAGATAAAGAAATATACGCTACTACCCATTTCCTCCTTGCCAATCTTCTGACAGAACCATCAGTAATGTACTAATATATAATAAACAGAAAGATAATGTCATTTTTTTTCAATTGCAAAGTGACCAAAATATTAAATACTCTAATTTTTGTTCAAAGAACAAGACCAATATGAGGCATATTGTATGCTAATTCTGAATCCATACACAACTTTGTGTTCAAAGACTGACACAGACCAGTCAACAATGAGACATTTAAACTTCAGTTAATGTTGATCTTCTATACAGAGATACAAATTCATTGTAGATATAATTTTTCATTCATAGATTTGGAAAACTTCTTTATGATATTTTAACATCCTTTTTCACAGATTATTTCCTAGAAGGAAATCTCTAGACCAATAATTTTCTTAATCTTTTTAAAAACCATGATTTTTGAAAAGATGTTTGAAGTCCTTGATTTTACCCCAGGGCTCGTGGCCCTCTTTAATTCTCATTTCTAATCCCTTAACACTGTTAATCAAGTCTTCAGTACTTTTAATTATTATTCAACATCTTATTTAGGATTAGAATTCTTTTTTCCATGATTACCTTATGAATATAGTTCATCAAATATTCATTGTACAATTACAATTAAAAATGTAATTCCCACAAAGATGTCTTTAAAGTAAAGAAAGTAAGGACATTGGAAACAAGCACTTTTTACAAAATCAATAAATATTATGTATTTTCTCCTCAACATTATACCTACTCAGAATAAT